TGGAGGTGTGCGGGCAGAGGCTCTCCCGGTTCCTCCATGATGCCGAGCACAAGCGCTTGGCCTGGCTGCGGGAGGTGGAGGAGCAGGGCATGAGGATGCTGGATAGGTAGGGGCCGCCCTCCAGGGGAGCTCCCCGTCCCCCAGGGCGCTGGCTGGTCTCGAAGCGCTTCCAGCCGCCCCGAGCGTAAGGCCAGGTGTGCTCCCAGCGGCCGGTGGGCCGGCCCTGGTGCGAGGCCTGGCGGGCGTTGGGTCTCGCAGCTGAGCGACTGCGATTTAACGTGGCCGTGCCTTCAGCCGCTCGGTTTGGCCCTTGGTGCCCGGTGGCCGGTACATCTCGCTCGCTTGTTTCTCGCCCAGCGCTCATCTTTCTCAATGAGTGACCCGTATTTTGCGGATGGGTTGTGGATAGCGTTGTTCTAGGCAGTGGGGGGAAGCGCTCTGTCTTCTGTGTTTGCTCAACAGCAACTTTGGGGCTGAACCTCAGTTAATGCCCAAAACACCATCACAGAGGAGGCGTCCCAAGAAAAGGCAGTCCTCCTGCCTGAAAGATGAAAATAAGGAGCCAAACAGGAGGAGGTAGGTGAGTCGGTTGTTCTGGCTCTGCCCCACGGCGTTTAAGACTGAAACAAAATAGTAACTTTCCACATACTCAAGAACGTAAAATAGCCTCTTCGTTCCCTGAGTTAGCAAATACATTGAAAATGGCATGACAAGATCAATCGACACTTTGATTCTTGCGACAGTTTGGGATAGAGTTGGCTGGTTTCATTCACTTTCATTTTTGGTTTTTCTTTTTTCTGGTTAGAAACAAAGAATAATAAATATTCTGTTTTCTTATCTGTTTGGATTTGGGGTTTTTTTTACTTGATTTTGTTTCAGTGCGATTTTTGACCTGAGGTTGCTACTGGTGTTCACTCCCTAAACCTTTGTGCTGGTGCCCGAGAGAACCCGAGAATGGAACTTGCTACCAGCGACATGCAGAAACAGCAGGTCCGCGGTCATTGTTTGAACTGGCAGGCAGAAAGGCTCGAAGGGATTAGCGGTGGAACTGAAGTGGAAATTCCAAGTGACTTGCTTAGAACCAGCTGTACTTGAGGTTGTTAAAACTAGTCCTAAGTAGACAACAGTTGCCTGCAAACAGACGCCAAGGCAGGATGGTGTAGGGCACTATTTAATTGCACGTGTAGTCAGGGATGGCTGCGAGGCTAATTAACTTCCCTGATGCCACTGCTTCCTGGTAGCTGCCTGTGTATCTGCTCTCATCTCGTGGTCAGCGGCAGGGCGGTTAAGGTAACCGTCCCTTCAGAGAAGCACGTGCTGCGAGCTGAGGGTCGGCACGCTGACAGTTGCTGTAGTGTGACCCAAACCTCGTCACTGGGCACGAGGTAGTAAACTGTTTATGTGTTAAGGCACTTAAATTTTGATAACCGTGGTGAAAAACCCACAGAAGTTGGACGGGAAGAGTTAGAACTAAAAGACTGTCAGAAACCAGACATGGAGGATGGAGAGAACAGCCAGAATAGTAAGGAAGCGTGGGAAGTTCGTGTGTGTGTGTGGTGAGGGAGGGCAGGAGAAGAAAACGTTGCAGATCTAAATGGGGAGAGCTCTTAAGACATACTGTTGGTTTTCAGGTAGAAGCTGGGTTGCTCCCCTGGAGAAGACAAGTCTTGCATGTATTTTTCCTCATTTAAACTTAGTTTTGAGAAAGATCTGCTGATGTGACAGAACGCCAGGGCGGGCGGTCACTTGTCAACAGGAAGCTCATGCTGCAGTTCAGCACGTTGTGCTCCATCCTGCAAGGTCAGGCCATTGTTGTTTTCCTTGCTCTGTTTTTCTCAGTATGTATTTTAAAACCCATTTCTTAGTGTATTGTTAGTTACACATTTCCCAATTAGTAGTCTTTTTTGCTAATTCTAGCAAAAAGTCCCTCTTCTTGCTAGAGGTCAGAATGGGAAATTAAGAAAACGAGGCTGGAAGGAGGGCAGAGGGTATCAGCTTGAATACTGGCAGTAGGACAAGTCACTGCTTGCTGGTGGTCTTGCGCCAGGGGCTGTAAAACCTTGTCCTTACACCGCAGTGGGTTTTCTTAGCTGCCTTTTCTAGCTGTTGCGCGCTTCCACGTTAGCTCTCCGTTTCGTATTTGTCTCCAGTCTCCACCCTTTACCTGGCTACCTCTGGGTCACTTTGGCATCGGAAACTGCCTTTCTCTGGACATCCAAAGTTGTCCTTTGGTTTTGGATTTGTCCACCTCATCTCCTTGACTTGCTGATCAAGCGTGTGGCTCCATCCTCTTGTGGCAAGTTACCTAACGGAGCGAAGAGGATTTCACTGCGGAAGTTCCCCAAGCCTCTATGTGGTTGGT